CTTCAACAGGGTGCTTCGATTTTTTGCCATGGTAGGATACTGAAATGGTACAAGTGCAAATGCACACTTTTTTCCACTATGGTTTTGTTACTGTGTCACTGTGAGTGTGGGTGTTTTTATAATGTAGATTTGAATTACAAATCAAACCAGTATAGTTTTGACGTAGGACTACGTCTGTGATTTCTATATGGGGGTACACTTTGTGAAAACCGAAAATGGAACATGTAACACAATTGTGAAAGATTTTGAACGTTAATAACTCAGCTGCCCCAGGACCAATTCCATTAATTTATCACCAAACGATTAGAAATATTTCAACGCATCTGTTAAATTAAAGACTTTATCATTTTTCCAAGTGTCACTGTTGAAAATTGCACGAATGTGCAACTGTTTCTATGATAATCGGTCTCACCAAACGGTGTTTATTCAATCACCGCGTGGTTAGTGGAGGTGTTCTCCAGTACACAACGAAAGGCTTCCCGCAAGCAGTTAGCTATCAAGGCAGCCCTCAACCGCTGATTGGATTCAGTTCCAATCACCGTGTGTAGTGGTGTCCGGTCGTCGGCATCAGCAGCTGCAGTGCTTTAGGCGCGTGGCGTTGAACATTGTTCTCCAGCACACAACGAAAGGCTGCTTGCAAGCATTGAGCTGGAGCCCACATGTGCATCCATAGAAGGAGAAAGAAGCCACACTCCCATTGATCGGAATCAGTGCGTCATACTAAAGAGAAAACAGAGAGAACCCCGCTAAAATTCATATTCCTACACAAAACACAAGCTCCTGCTGCAGTTAACAAATAATATTTGTTATATAAGACCGCGTAATCCTACGTCACCATTGCGTACAACCAACAATCAATACGAAACTAACGATTTCAAATTGGCTCACTACTTGACTAGCCTATTGGTCCCAAGCAAACGATTAACGTATCCCATTCTAGTAGAAATTCTAGTACCACGCAATGTTTGTTTTGATTCGCTATGAAAGTTTGACAGATAAAATTAGGGGTTATTGGTTTTTCCTATGTTTCGAGGGGTGAATCAATTAGCTTGGGACCGAAGAGAGTATCAGAGCTGAGCCAAAAAGTTGAGCACGTTATTTCGGGACCTTCTAGTCTTAGAGTTACCTCTATGGTACTACCCCATAGGGCTGTCCCTTGTTTTTTTTTTACTTTTATTTAGGAGATTTTTAGCCATGGGCTACTGCATCTCCGAAATTCAGGATCCCTATGTCCTCAGACTCAGTTTCACTCATATTAAAAACAAGCGCTTGGAAACCGATAGGTTTGTAATCAAGCTGGCATGAATTGATTATGATTGACCTTCTGAAGAGTTCTACAGTTCAAGCAACTATACCTTTCGTATCTTTTTGAGACAGATTTCGAAGAGACGTTCTATTCGAGGAAACAGAATTTGGGAAAAACTGTTCAATCGTTTCTTAAGAGTACAAAATCATACATTTACGGTGTACTTTTAATACAAAACAAATACTAAATCAAAGGTAAAAGGCACAGCTCACACACCAAGGTAGAATACCATCAAGCTCATCCCGGTGGTAGCTGATGTGACACATTGATTTATTCCGACTGGAGCTGCTGGCATCGGTGCCAAACTGAATGCCACAAAATTGGATAAGTCATCGCCAGCGGGATTCGTTGTCGGGTTTCCCAAATTAGATTCGAAATTTCCAAACTCTTGACCGCCCTTGATGCAGCCGGAAGCGTCGGAATCGTGGATTTGGCGTGCCCATGAATTAAAGTCGTCGAAATCGTCCTTGGCGGAGGCGACGACGGACAGGTTCTGAACAGGTCTTTCAGAATTTTATTGCTTGACTGCTGATTCCCGCTGAACGTGCTGATGATCTCTTCGGGGTCGACTGATTTACTATCCTGATAGCCACCGTACTCACTGGAACCGCCTCCACCGCCACCATACTGCATTCCACCTGTCACATCCAACTTGTCCTTTCCGCCAGGGTTTCATTTCTTTATCGATCAGCTAACGAATATTGTGCCGCTCTGTGATTCCTTGGTTATTGCCGTTTTCATCCAATAAGGTGTAATTTTCCAACGACTGCAGATCGTAGATGTAATACTGCAAATGTATCGCATTGATTTTGTTAATTTACGTTAATGGTTTGTTAATTGTCGTTTGAAATTGAGATGGACCAACAATGGTCTTAGTCGAACCAACAATAAAAGTAATCATCAATTCAGTGCCAACATTTCAAAGGGGCGTAATTGCTTTTGTAAACAATGACTTTAGCCATCAATTTCTCGCGAATGAAATCTTACCTCTTCAAAATAACAATGCTAGCTGGTAGAGGAAACATTCCTCTACCTAATGGTGTCATTATTTTTCATGAGTGAGCTTTTATTCGCGAGAAATCGATGGCTAAAGCCATTGTTTACAAATGCAATTACGCCCCTTTGAAATGTTGGCACTGAATTTTAGTTTATAAACAAATATGGATATTATGGTTGCCAGTAAGCATTAATTTTCGTCCAACGTTTTGACAGGTAGGTCGACATGCAGAAACACCTTCTGCACGGTAAGAAAAAATACTCAAAATTAAGTTAAAAAAAACTCAACGTTGGGTTCTATACTTTGAGGTCCGCCGTTGAGTGAATCAGAAAAGCGGCGTTGGTTAAAATTTACTCAACTATTGAGTAATAATAAATGAACTCAAATATAAGTTTATTTTCATTGAAGTTGCTTTTATGCGCCTTTAACCATTTCATTTTCACAAGCGTTGATAGACGAGTGGTCAACACACGGGCCCCGTAATCTCAACGTCCATGGTTCGGTTCCAGTCTGCTCCGTTATATTATTTTTTTGTCAACTTGGTCAACGCCAGGATTACTCAAAATTGAGTTTTCTTCTTTAACTTAATTTTACCTAGCCCCACGGAAGCCACGTGATGAGTGAAAGGAACTCAATTTTGGGTACTTTTTCCTTACCGTCTGATATCCAAAAACACGTAAGAAACACAATCAACACAATCACAAGGTGGCAGAGTGACTTACCCCTTGGGTAACTCTAAAGCTGGGTTTAAACAGGGCAAGTCAATTGATCAAGTCAGTTGAATTCAACTGACTTGAACGCGAATTGAACGTGTAAACCATGCCATTCAACTGACTTGATCAACTCACTTGAATTGAAAAAAGTTGAACCAGGCTCAACTTTGCAAGCCAATTGAATTCAACTGAGTTGATCATTTGACTTGCCCTATCTAAACCCAGCTTAAGACCAGAAGGTCCCGGAAAAACGTGTTCAACTTTTTGGCTCAGTTCAGGTACACTCTTCGGTCCCAAGCTAATCGATGCACCCCTCGAAACATATGAAAATCCACGAGCCCCTCATTTTGTCTGTCAAACTTTCATAGCGAATCAAAACAAACATAGTGTAGTACTAGAATTTAGACTGGAATGGGGTCCATTAATCGATTTGCTTGGGACCAATTACAGACCCCCTTCACTCTTTGGAATTTTTAGAGCCAGATAGCAGCGCCAATAGGTTTGTGACGATACAACGTTGAACTGCAGTGTTGAAAGAAAACACGCACACCAACATCTATGCATGTACAAACCCACACCACTGAGCGGAGGGTACACAGCAAAAAAATAATTTTGATATCACGTCAAAGTGGATGCACTACAATCATGTCGAACATATGGTGTAATATTACTTGCTAAAAAGGACAAAATTATCATTAATACAATGCATGAACTGACATTACGCTGCTTTTACTGCATTTGTTTATTTATGTGGTCATAAAAATTACATGAAATTTTCGACATGATTGTAGTGCATCCACTTTGATGTGATATCAAAATTATTTTTTTGCTGTGTACAGTGCAAATCAAAACACGAAGCGGTGTCATCACTTATCGTCATCACTCAGCTCTGGCAGCTTCAGTTTGCGATTTAGGTGGCGTTGACAAATACCTTCTTTATAAAATAGCAAAGTAATCATTAGTCCAACGTAATTTTTGAATAGAATGCGTGCAGCGTTGGCCAAGGAAGACGGCATATTTTATTACAAAGCAATGATTTAAATACGTTGCGTTTTTCGAAGTATACTTCTATGCTTATAAGGATTATGTTGAGCAACAGATTCACAAATCATCAATTTTCGATTAATTTTTCGAAGGGAAGTATCTGCTATTGTAAACAATGCATCTTATTGATACCGGTGGTTATATTGGAAACTCGTTCACTCGAAAGCAAAACATATTACAAGCCCAGCTTGGATGTGTCCTTGTATTCTCAAGCGTTTCTGTTGCGTATAACATGGTAATGATTGAAAATGAGTGAGAATTTTGCTATCGAAATATAATGATGATGACATCGATCATCTTCTTCCCTCGGCTGGAATCTGTCATAATGACACCCCACAGTTTCAATGTCCACTCACTAGATGTCACTGCGATCACATAAGGGTGGTGTATCCATTACCTTGTACGAGGAATTTATTAATGGGATATCTTGTTAATTAAATATCTTTGCCAATAGGCTAGTCAAGTAGTGAGCCAATTTGAAATCGTTAGTTTCCACCGGTTGGTATCATTCTAAATGGTACGGTCGTTGAGCCCCTTTGCTGTAATAAAACCAAATGTTAGGACAACTTCCTCATCAACCCTTTTATTTCGTTTAGAAACAAATGGACTTGCTTATAGTAATTTTAGACAATTTGTACCCACCTATCATTCAACGGTTACAATACTACTCGCAACAGTATGCGTATCACGTTCCCGACCGGTGTTGTTTACAGATCCAGCCTCTCCGCTCGTCCTCCGTTCCATCCGGCTAGCTACGCTCTGTTCCTCACCTGACCGGTTCCACAATCGCTCGCGGGCACCAACACTCGTATCGATCCCATCCATCCATGCTTTCTTCTTCGAAACTAATCAACGGCCTTCCTACTCATCCATTGCCGTGTGTAGCCCTACAACACTATCGAGCGCACGCAGCAGCCACGGCCTTGGTAGGAAGGAAACCGAACACGACTCAGCAGATTCAGTCCGATCACGACTGTCAACCGGTTCGGAACTGTGTTTAGAGGCTCTTTTCAAAGAGACGCTTGCGCCACGTGTTTTGTGGAAATTTACTGTTTTCGTGCCATTCCGTAACATTTAGAGACTATTTCTCCACTAGATTTGTGAAGAGTGATTTGTCGAACGTAGTGATATAAGTTTAAGTGCCAAATTTTGTGTGTGTTTCGTGTTTTTGCGAAAAACATTGTACCATTGTGCGTAGGTGTAGGATTACCTGTAGAACATTTAAAATCTATCGTTTATAACGTGAGGTTAGTTAGACAGTTTATTTCTATAATTAAGGCATGAAAACTTCTGGAACACTCAACTAAATTTTAAGAGTTCCAAGAATATCATTCGATAGTGCAACGCCGCAATAAATCTGATTAGCTAGGTATCGCAATAGATTCATTTTCTCAAGTTACACTTTTCCATCTCACTCGCACTGTTTCACCTTTCCGTAGTATGAGTGAAGTGCATCTTCCTTGGAGTTGTATGCGTGATTTGTTTACAAACTTGTTTTTATGCCTTCCGAGAGCAGTTCACCAACACCAGTCGAATTTGTTTTCAAATTTTACTATGAATGAAACCGTATCCCGACAGGCACCTGTTGCGAGATTTGTTGATGTTTACGCTTAAAGCAGCTGATTTTACTACGCGGCTTTTAATTTTGAAGGCCATTGTACTTAGGCTAATGTTTATGTTTTGCTTTTAGGTGGGAACGATTAAAACCATGCCGGCAACTTTGGTTTTGGAAGATGGGACAGTTGTGCACGGTGAGAGTTTCGGTGCGGAAGTGGATTCCGACGGGGAGGTGGTGTTTCAGACGGGAATGGTCGGTTATCCGGAATCGATGACCGATCCGTCCTATCATGAGCAGATTCTGGTGCTCACCTATCCGTTGATCGGGAACTACGGAATCCCGGATGAGGACCTGGATGAGCGTGGACTGATGTTGCACTTTGAGTCGAACAATAGGATTTGGACGTCCGGATTGGTGGTGGGAGAGATTTGCGAGACTCCGTCTCATTGGAGAAGCAAGCTGACGCTGTCGCAGTGGATGGCGAAGCACCGGGTACCGGGGATCAGTGGAGTCGATACCCGAGCGCTGACCAAGAAGATTCGGGAGAATGGGACGATTTTGGGTGAGTATGTTTCTTTGAAAATTTAGATGTTAAAGTGCATGCAGAAATATTGAAAACATATCCGTTACAATGTATTATATTGCACACGGTTTTCATTTCTCCTATTTCAACAATGTGTTGCCGAAATTTGTACAATCAAGTGTCCGAGACCAAATTTAACCTTAGAAAGAACTAACATGAGCGTAGGAAAATCAAACGGCAATGCGTATTTCTCGTTCGGAAATAGTCTTAAGGATGCCATACAAAATTATAAGAAATTGGCGAGGGGGACGAAAGTAATCCGCTCTACATTTCATATAATTGATTTCTATAAAATGTTATTCATAATGTTGATTTTTTAGGATAAATTCGTTTCGTAATGCATAAAAACACTGTCGATATCATCCGATTTCATCCACTATTCATCGATAATCTTGGATGTGTTCGAATTATCGAGCATTATGCAGATGTTCTTTTTAGTGTGTTTCATGATGTGAACTGTCACTTTCTTGAGCACCTACTTTTGTGTTTGTTTCAAGTTCAAACTCTGGAAGCAACGATATTTGCACAGAGATTTGGCAACAGAATTGATGATCAAACGTGACCAAACCCAAGACCAAACGATTGATGTGATCGATGATGATGTTCACAGGATGCCTGAGATATTGGGCAAGTCTGTTGAGGTGGTGAAGGAAAGCAGTAATGATGATCCCGGATATATCCGAGAATTTCTATATGCCATTCCGCACTTTTTCTTATAATGTGTGTCAAGCGCTATACTACCACCTCAAAATTTCAAGAGTACAGCTGCCACAAAATATCCAACAACGAAACTGGAACTTCAAGTTTGCTGCAATGCAGAAAACAGGGAGCTCCAATTTCATGAGCGATGTCACAACTGTGACCGGAATTTGTGCCCGATTGACCGATTCTGCTACCGGGTGGTCAGAAACGGTCCTCTGGATATCCGGAATCAACGGAAAAATAGTCAATTCCTGAGAGTAGACCTAGAGATCCGCTATTTTTTCTAAATTACTCCTAATTTTTTCCTAAATTACGGTTGTAAGAAATTTTAGAATTCGTTTCACTTCTCCTCAAAACGTACCTTTAGTAAAGTGAAAAACTGATATCGCTACATCAATTTGACCACCATGTGGCCTGTAAACGGTTCTGCAAATAGGCAGATTTTAGAACAACTTTTGCATTGTTCCATTTATCAGGAAACTATGCCAAATGTAAATATCTGTTAAATAATTTTACCAAGAAAGACGAGATATTCCCTGGGAGTTTTTTGATGATAATATAGAATGTTCCAGCATCACATGGAGCCTTCATATTTTGAAAGATTTAAGTTTATCTTCCTTTTTTTTTTAAATCAGTCCAAATCTGTTTTTTTTTTTTTTTTTTTGTGGGCTTTCAAAAAGGTTTAGAACTAAGTTATAATTTCGGAACATTATTTTCAAAAGTATTGCTCCTCAGGGCAGAGAATCGCTTTTTATTTTGTTTTGCAAATCCCGCCAGATAGCTTTCATGGCAGAATCGCGTGTTCTTTGATATTGCCTCCTACGGACATTATTCAGACGGATCAAGAGCTGAAGATTTTGGTACTGAGACATCTCTTGATTCAACTATAGAAGTAGTCAGAGATTCAAGATAGTTAATTTATTTACGATCACCGCCTTCGACTAAGTCGCACAGACTGAACTACTTAATACTATACTCTAGACTTAATTCGTCAGTTAAGTCGTTCATTAAAAGCCCGGAGACACGAATCAAGTGGATTGTGATGCCCATAGTTCGTCCTGTGGTACGGAATTGCCAGTAGAGGTGAACTTCGGAAGCGACGTGGAGGAATGTTGATCGGTATCTGCTCAAGAAGTGCAGGACAGTCAATACCTCCTGTGATGACATCAAACACGAACATACGCTGCATTTTAATTCGCCTCGATGACAGACTTCCTAAGTTGATCAATCGGCATCGGTCAGGGTAAGAAAGAAGATTTACTGGGTCATTCCAGGGAAGCTGGCGTAGAGCGAATCGTATGAATTTCCTCTGCACACGCTCAATTGCTAAGATCTGCGTCGCGTAGAATGGTGTCCATACAGGAGCAGCATACTCCAGGATACTTCGCACTAACGAACAATATAACGTTTTGATGGCGTACACATCAGTAAAATCTGAAGCATGTCGACGAATAAATCCGAGTGCAGAGAATGCTTTGGCGCTTATAATAGCTACATGTTCGTTAAACTTCAATTTTGAGTCAATAGTAACGCCCAGATCACAAATCGATAGAACTCGCTCCAGTATGACGGATTCCATTTTAAATTGAAGGACAATGGGCCTAGTGCGTCGCGTAAACGAAATAACTTTGCATTTGTCCCTGTTCACGCGCATTCCATTATCGCTACACCAAACGAGCATAACGTTTATGTCCTCTTGCAACGCCATGCAGTCTTCTGAAGAAGTGATGACACGATAAATCTTCAAGTCGTCGGCAAAAGAAAGGTTAAGAGAAGAGAGCAGCATACACAAGTCATTTACGAAGATATTGAAGATCAGCGACCCAAGAACGCTTCCTTGGGGTACACCGGACGTGATGTTGAACGGCTGGGATTGTGCCGCATTGACTACAACACAACCGGTTCTGTCCGACAGGTACGAGAACAACCACTGCGTTATCCATTCCGGAAACCCCCTGTGTACCATTTTGTCTATGACCAAGATATGTGGTACAGTGCCGAAGGCCTTGGCGAAATCTATATAAATCGAATCAACTTGTTGTCCATGTTCAACTTCGCGAGACAAGGTGTTGACGTAACACATCAGATTTGTAGTCGTGGAGCGTTGTTTCATGAAACCATGTTGGCTGCCGGAGATTAATGAAGATACGGCGTTATACAGAACGTTATGCACCAGTTTTTCGAAAATTTTGCTCAAGCAACACAAGACAGAAACACCTCGATAGTTCGTGACTCGATTACAGTTGCCGGATTTGTAGAAGCCGAATGATAGAAGCTGATTTCCAAGCCACTGGGAACATCCTGTCATGCAGCGAACGGTTGAATAGAGATGTTATGGGAGATGCAAGTGCGGTGGAGCAATTCTTCAGCAGCAAGGGTGGTATACAGTCCATTCCAGGTCCTTTATCAACGTCGAGTTCTTCCATGGCTTTCACCACTTCGACAACGGAAAACTGAACGTCGGGTGGATTTATGTCTGGTGAAGCAATATGGGCAAAGCGGTTGAAGCGTGGAACAGGCGATGATTTGCTAAATACGCTCTCGAAGAACTTGGCGAATAGGCTTGCTGCTTCCGAATTAGAGCTAGCGATGGTTTCGTCGTATTTAACGTTAGTTGGAATGCGAGTAGCCAATTTTTGGCTTCTGACTAAATTCCAGAAACATGAAGGATTTTGCTTGACATCTGATTGAATCTTAGCCATGTAACTTTCATACGTGGAAAAGACAAGTGCCTTGTACGTTGTTTCCACTTCCTGAAGGTTATTCCGCTCACCATCGGACTTCATCAGAAAGAAACGGCTGCGTGCTTTCCTGAGGACGTTTCGTAGATGACGCAGTTCAGAGGTCCACCATGGCTTGTTGTAGACTGAAGAAGCTCGTTGTCTCTTTTGAGGTACTTGGTCTCTAAGAACTTCGTAAAGTTTATCATTGAAAGCTGATACAGACTCGTCCAAATGATTCCCGTCGCAGTAGAGCATCCCATTCGATGATTGAGAGCACGTCATCCAAACGACCAAAATCACACGACTGAAAATTAAAGTTGAATCTCACATTCCCATCGTCCGTTGTGATTGTGCCATTACAGCTTTCGTCAAGAAGCAAGATAAATGGTGCGTGATGGTCGTCAATTGGTAAAAGTGGAGTTGAGGGTACAATAAGGTCAAAGTACTCCGGTAGATTGACAAACACAAGATCGAGGAATCTGCCATTAGTATTCACAACATCGTTGACCTGACGCAAACCAGAGGCAAACATATTTTCTGTGAGGCAACGTTCTATTTCTGAGGAAACGTTTGACGGGATAAAGCCGTTCACGTCATCGTCTGATTGCCACCGTAAACTTGGAAGATTGTAGTCTCCTAGTGTCAGAATCACATCAGCTGAAGATTAGGTTAGGTTAAGTTACTCCATAAAAGTTCTAGCCTTTAGGCTCATTTTCACCGAAACATATTCCGATCATATATCCGGAAACTAACTGATTTCAAAAATATTCAATTGCGATCAATGGGACCATGGTACCTTTCCAGTTCAGTGGTTGCTGATAAACAACTTCTGTTGGGTCTGTAACGTATCGAACTAGCAACGCCAGCTAGCGCTGAGCTTAAGAGAAGAATACATGCTTGACCACAGAACACACCCTCACTCCTCGCCACCCAAGATACATAGTATAACATGTTCAAGTAGTAGTACTAAAATTATGTTTATTTCTGTTGATTAAGATTATCTGCAAAGAAAGGAAGCTCATCTCTGCTTCGGAAAGTGAAAAAAAAAATCGATGTACTTTAGATGTACTTTAGAGTGCCACCTAGCGGTGAAAAGTACACGGAAAATATTGGCAGCATTATACCAAACCAACCGGTGGAAACTAACGATTTTAGATTGGCTCACTACTTGACTAGCCTATTGGTCCCAATCAAACGATTAACGTACCCCATTCTAGTCGAAATTCTAGTACTACACTATGTTTGTTTTGATTTGCTATGAAAGTTTGACAGATAAAATGAGGGGCTGGTGGATTTTCCTATGTTTCGAGGGGTGCATCGATTAGCTGGGACCGAAGAGAGTACCAGAGCTGAGCCAAAAAGTTGAGCACGTTTATTTGGGACCTTCCAGTTTCAATAACAGGTGCAAGTACAGCTTGGGTGCTTTAAAGCGTTTTAATTAAAAATGAAATATATTTTTACCAATACAATTCATTGTACCGACTGTATTTCTTAAATGCTGTCCAGACTGGAGAGTTATAACATGTTATAACGGTTGTCAAATAATTGCAACAC